CAGACAGTGGAAAAGTTCCATATCATCAGCCAAAACTAGGTCATGTGAAGACTGTGGAACTGACCATCAATTGATTATATGTAAATTTAGGAAGAAGCTGAAGAAAATTAAAACAAGTTCATGAGAGTCAAACTATCCCACATGAATTTAGAGATCATCTCAAGAACAGATTGGATACATTAGACACTAATGACTGAAGATCAGAAGGGTTGTGGGATGATATAAAGAACACACAGGAAGAAACAAAACATCATTCAGAAGACAAGAGAGAAGGAAAAGACCAAAATGGATATCAGAAGAGACTCTGAAACTTGCTTTTCAGCACAGAGATACTAAAGCAAATGGAATGAGGAAGTAAAAGAACTGAGCAGAAATTTTCAAAGGGTAGCTTCAGAAGAAAAAAAAATCAAATATTATAATGAAATGTGCAAAGATCTGGAGTCAGAAAACCAAAAGTGCAGCATTTCTTATGCTGAAAGAACTAAAGAAAAATTGCAAGACTTGACTTGCAATTGTCAAGGATTCTATGGGCAAAATATTGAATGATGGAGAAAGCATCAAAAGAAGATGGAAGGAATACACAGAGTCACTGTACCCAAATCAAATGGTCAATGTTCAACCATTTCAAGAGGTAGCATATGATCAAGAGCCAATGATCAAAAGTCAACAGAGTAGTTCAAGGGGCTTTGAAGGCATTGACAAAGAACAAGGCTCTTTGAATAGATGGACTACAAATTGAAATAATTCAACAAACTAATGAAGTACTGGAAGTACTCACTCATCTATGCCAAGAAATTTGGAAGACAGCTACATGTACAAATGATTGGAAGAGATCCATATCTGTATCTATTCTAAAGACAGGAAACCCAACTGAGTATGGAAGTCATCTGGCAAGATCGTTATTATCACATGCATGTAAAATATTACTTATAATTTTAAATGGCTGCAACATTGTGAATCATAACAAGCTATAGACAATATTGTGGCAAATGAGTGTTCTCGATCGAATACTTAATTGTGCTCACGAGGAACCTGTAAACAGACCAAGAAGCAGTCATTGGAACAGAACAAGAGGACAATGAATGGTTTAAATTTAGGAAATTTGTGCACCAGAACTGTACTTTTTTACCCTATTTATTCAGGCTGTATGCTTAGCAAATAATATGAGAGCTGGATTATACAAAGAAGAAAGTTGTGGCAGGATTGGAGGAAGACTCATTAACAACCTGTGATACACAGATGATTCAACCTTGCTCACTGAAAGTGAAGAGGACTTAAGATACTTACTGATGAAGATCAAAGACCAGAGCTTTCATTATATGGGTTGTACCTCAATGTAAAAAAAACAAAAACCCTCACCACTGGACCAATAAATAATATTATGATAAATGGAGAAAAGATTGAAGTTGTCAAAGACTTTATTTTGTTTGGATCCACTATCAACACTCATGGAAGCAGCACTCAAGAAAACAAACAACGTATTATATAGGCAAATCTTCAAATCTCTTTATTAAAGTGTTGAAGAGCAAAGATACCGGTTTGAGGATTAAGGTGC